AAGTTTTTATTAAATTATTCTTGTTTAAAGTTATAAAAAAATTTTATTATAAAAAATTTGCTTGATTTCTATTGACTTACCCCCATATTATAAATATCTAGTAAATATATAGTATATGTATAGTATATATATGGTAAATATATATAAATTAATATTTTATATATAATGTGGTATTTGATGTATCCAGCATCAAAACAAAGCAAGTAACCCAAAAAAAATCACCAAATTCAATCAATTCGGATCAAGGTTCTTAAGTGTCGAATAAAAACTTGAAGAAAAACTAGATGCCAATTCCGAAAACATAGTGGATCGAAATGTATAAACGCTGCTATATTTATTATCAATAACAAGTGCAAGTGCAACATCAGAACAAATCAAATAAATATATATAAAAAAAAACACCAAATTAAAAAGTTCGCTTGACCAAATTGGAACTTGAAGACCAATTCCGGGAATGTAGTGGATTGAAGTATATGAAACACTGTTGTATCTATTATCAATCACAAGTGAAAGTACAATATCAGAACAAATTAAATAAATATATAAAAAAAAACACCAAATTAAAAAGTTCGCTCGATCGAATTGGAACTTAAAGACCAATTCTGGGAACATAGTAGATCAAAGTGTATAAAATGCTGCTGTACCTATTATTAATCACAAGTGAAAATACAACATCAGAACAAATCAAATATATAAAAAAAAAAACACCAAATTAATTAGAACTTGAAGACCAATTCTGTGAACATAGTGGATCAAAGTATATAAAACGCTGCTGTACCTATTATCAATCACAAGTAAAAGTACAACATTAGAACAAATCAAATAAATATATAAAAAAAAACACCAAATTAAATCAAGTTTACTTAATCAAATTGGAACTTAAAGACTAATTCTAGGAATGTAGTGGATCAAAGTGTATGAATGCTGCTGTACCTATTATTAATCACAAGTGAAAGTACAACATCAGAACAAATCAAATAAATATATAAAAAAAACACCAAATTAAATCAAGTTCGCTCGATCAAATTGGAACTTGAAGACCAATTCCAGGAACGTAGTGAATCAAAGTGTATGAAACGCTGTTGTACCTATTATCAATCACAAGTGCAATATCAGAACAAATCAAATAAATATATAAAAAAAAAACACCAAATTAAATCAAGTTCGCTCAATCAAATTGGAACTTGAAGACTAATTCCAGGAACGTAGTGGATCAAAGTGTATGAAACGCTGCTGTACCTATTATCAATCACAAGTGAAAGTACAATATCAGAACAAATTAAATATATAAAAAAAAAACACCAAATTAAAAAGTTCGCTCGATCGAATTGGAACTTGAAGACCAATTCCAGAAACGTAGTAGATCGAAGTGTATAAAACACTGTTGTACCTATTATTAATCACAAGTGAAAGTACAACATCAGAACAAATCAAATAAATATATAAAAAAAAAACACCAAATTAAAAAGTTTGCTCGATCGAATTGGAACTTGAAGACCAATTCCGGGAATGTAGTGGATTAAAGTGTATGAAACGCTGTTGTACCTATTATCAATCACAAGTGAAAGTACAACATCAGAACAAATTAAATCAAGTTTGCTCAATCGAATTGGAACTTGAAGACCAATTCCAGGAATGTAGTGAATCAAAGTGTATGAAATGCTATTGTATTTATTATTAATCACAAGTGAAAGTACAACATCAGAACAAATCAAATAAATATATAAAAAAAAACACCAAATTAAATCAAGTTCGCTTGATCGAATTGGAACTTGAAGAATACTAGGAGCCAATTCGGTATATATACCAAGAACGTAGTGGATTGAGGTGTATAAGGTTTATGCTCGTACGCATATTGGAAAAGTAATTACGCTGCTTTCACTAGTAATATTTTACAAAAAAAAAAACTATTTCATTCAATCGGGATCAGGCATTAAATAGGAATTTAGAAGAAAGCTAGTAAGCCTATATGTAAGTGTATAGTTGAATTTAAGTTTTATATTCATACACATTTTGGAAAAGCAGTATCATTATTGTTCAATATAAATCGATCGAAGAGAGAAAGAGTAAAAGTAACTAAACTTCTAATTTGATCTTATAAAGATCGCCACTGATTAACCTATGATTAACCTGTGATTAGTAAAAAATTCTTATCAGAAAATTTTTGCTATACCTATATATCATGAATACTCATATATTGGATTGTATACTTTATATACACAATTTTTGTGAACAATTATACAAAAAAAAAGTACCATGACGAATTCAAGATCCTAATATTTTATATAAAGACATTTTATCAAATTTTTATAATAATAATTAAAGCTGTTATTGTGATAATTATTTTTACAACTATTATAACCATCACAGCTATTATAACTATCATCATTACTATGAGCAAATTCATAATCTGCTTTTAATAAATTGTTCAAATTTATTAGTCATAATAGTCATAAAATAAGTGAGAAAAAAGTTTAGAAGTATAATTACAGGCACTATCTTGAAATAAAATATTATCATATCTTTAGTACTTTGGAGCTTTCTATTAAAGTTGAAATAGGTGTTCATAAAAAAATAATTAGCTTGTGTATCCGTGTCTAAGTGAACTGATAATTAAATATTATATAGTAATAAAATTATAGCCTTTAGCAGGTTGCAATTATAATTCGCCATTTTTATGTCACTAAAATATTTATTCTTGTTAACTATAGCCAATCACTATTAACATTGAATTTGTGAATATCAAAATACCGCCACTATAAATATTGTATAGGTAAAATTATCTAATATCCTCATGAAGTTAATATTAACAAGGGCAACTATATAGAAAAAAAAAATCTTCAAATTCGCCTACTGAAAATTTATAATATAAAACCACTAATAAAGGAAAATAATTCAAACAAGTAAAGAAACCTCTGTTTACCTTATTTTATTAAGAAACTTTAACATTTCAGACTATTAGCTTTCCGAGATAAAAAAACTGCTTTACAAACTAAATTAAACGAACTAGAATCTGAACTAACCCAACGAGCCAATTTAACCCAAGCAGAATATGAGGCTGAATTAGATAATTTAGAAGACCAAATTTCCCAATTAACCAGAGACCTTAATAAGGAACAAGAACACTTACGCTTAGCCCGTGAAGATATTGAATCATTAAGGGTCAAATTAACAATTATTAGATGAACGTTTCGGTTTAAAAACACAATGGTAATTATTTGATAACTATGTACGACTCTTAATCAGCCAATTAAATTTCTTCATCAATTTACCTACCCATCTTTCTTATGGAGATCGACTATACTATTGAGCCAAGATTACTGTTTCCTATAAAAAAAATATTTAGTAAAAAAAAATAAGTAAATACATAATATAAATAATTAATTAATAATAAATATAGGCAAAAAATAAAATTAATAATAAATTAATGAGTAAAAAATAGATAGCAATATAAGATAAAGGTAAATTATCAACAAATTAAATTAATAAGTAATAAAAGAAAAAATAAAGACAGAAAATTAAAAATAAAATAAAATATAAATAAAAAAATAATAAACTATCAAGCAAACACTGTCTTATAATATAAGAGATTAAATTTCTTTAGGATTTAATTCCTAATAATGAGCTAAAGACAGTACTTATCTGTGTCTTTTTTTTTATTGAATATTATCAAGAAAAAAACTACATTAAAAATTTAAAGTATTTTTTATCGGCTACATTATAGATAATAGGAATTTTTTTGTCTATGTTGACTAGAAATAAACCTGTAAGTATCAGCACTAGATTTTTAAAGATCATTTTTTCAAAACTTGGTAGTGGTTCAAAAAAAAAAAAAAATCAGTTCTATAAAATTAAATAATTAACAAATCTACAAATCAGGTAAAATACTCTTACAAGAAGCTTTAGTAAGCTATAAAGAGGTCTTAGCCAAAAACCAGTATTGCAGTAGCGGATAATACAAGTCAAACTCATTATAGTAAAGTGGTTAGTTCCATTAATAAAATTTTTTTAAAAAATCACTATATCGAGAGTTTATTAGTAAATTCACTATATTGAGAGAATTTCATATAGACTAGCTTTGGGTCCAACTTCACTATATCGAGATTTTAATGTTTTCACTATATCAAGAATAAAGTTGAAAAAAATCAAGTATTCATTCAATTTCATTAGACATATAATTTATCTATCATGTGATTTAATGCATGTCTATATTCATATAATAGATATGTACTACATTACTATACGTAAATTTATTACAATTACACAAAGTTCTAAATAAAACCTCTATCAAATAGTCTTAAAAAAGAAAATATTGTTTAGATATTGGTTATGTTCTAAGTCATAATTATTATTTTGATATCCTGTATTACAATCATGTAAAAAATGTATTTTTCGGATTCCATCCACGAATGTTAAAGAAAAAATTCTGCGACATGAAGTATCTTGACGAAGAACGAATATTGGGCAATTTACTTTTATGTGTTTTCTTGATATATCTTCGAACCAATCAACATAAATAAATGAATAATAACAGCCATCATTGCTCTTGTGCTTAAAGATGGCTTTAATTATCGCATAATCTTCATCATAATTATCCACTCGAATTACCACTACATTATTCTTATGCAAGTAGCATTTAACTTTAGTATAGCCATCATTTTGTATATAAGATGCGCTTTCATAAAAATTATAAGACTAGTTGATTAGTGACGCATTATATCCAAAATTTTGATAAGCAAGTGCCAAGTCAGAATGAAATAGAGCTGTATCAGTTCTAATCATTTGCTTATGAGAATTTATTGGCTTTATCAGTTTTATATTTTGAATATGATTGGATTGGGAGTATACTATTATACCATTTTTTTTTTTTTTTTTTTTAAGTGATTCTGCCTTTATTCATGTGAACTGTTATATAATTTTTACATCCATGTGTACAAAATTCTTACAACTTATTGCTCTAATGTAATAAAGACTCACCAAGCAAAAATGCCCAATGCGACCTGCTATACCAACTGTTTGTCTACTTAGGGATCATAAACTTACTCACGATTTCATATCCCAAAGAATACCTCCCTCGATTATGGACTGGCCATTGTATACCTCGTCAGGATCACCAACCTTTCTTCCAACTTTTTTACCAAAATCCGGGCAGAATAACTATCTCCTACTCTTCTATAAGCAAGATCATATATACTACGTTTATGAAAAACCAAAAACATTTAGGAGAATAAAAGGAAAATTAAAACCAAAAACTACAGAAAAGAAACCATTCTAAATATAATTCCATCATAAATGGACCAGTAAAAAAAGTAAAAAAGAAAAGTCAGCAATCCCGACAAGAAAAAGGAAAAATGCACTATTATAACCCGTGCTAGGCGACTATTATACCATATTAAAGATACAGTATATAATAAATTTATTAATATTATAATTAAAATAAATAATTAAAGCCTATAATAAAAGTAATATTACTATCTGATTCTTTATTTTCATCTAGCAAGTCTTCTGTAATAAACCAATTCTTAAATAAATACTTAAAACCTTGGAATATATTAACAAAATCGATGTTAGATCGTGAATAGTGAGGGTCAATTCCACCGTCTGCTAAATGCCGAATAGACTGAAGAGTTGTGTAATGTTTTAATAAATCAAATTCAATATTCTTTCGATTGGTACGCAGAATCATATTCTTAAAAATATAGTGAATCATCTCTTTTGTTCCAACTTCGGTGTTCGTAAGGGTTCCAAATATCCTTGCATGCTGAGGTAAATGATAACAGGCATGAAGATTAGAAAGGCTCACAAAGTTTGAAAATAACTACATTCAAATAACTTAGTAATTTTAAATAAAATCACATTTATTTGCTATATATACCCTGCTCGAAACAATTGTTCCTATATTATTTGAAAATTCAATTACCAATAACCTAAATTTCAATTTATTTTTTAGAACTGGTTAATTAAATAGTGCGAAGTGAACCCAATTTATATATATATATATATTATATATGTACGAAAAACATTGTTATAACCCACTTTGAAGGTTAGAAATGCTAGCCCCTTCATACATACATAGTAAGTTTGTTGCATTGATGTTTTAAAAAAGGAAATTGTTTAAATATATATACAGTATATAGCTTTTAGTGTTAGGTTAATTGCTTTGTAATAAAATTACATGACTAATATAAAATACAAACCACTAAGCTTTAAATGATTTCTCCCAAAAATGAAGCCTGGATAAGCCCCAAAATAATAAAATTTGACCATGCAGAATATATATGGCGAAAAAGTATAGTAAATGTTATTGTAAGCTTACTATAGTCAAGACTTGTCTTTCTTTTTTTAGATCCTTTTCAAGATCTTTATAGTTACTGTTTGATAATGGAAACTTAAATACTAATTGAGTGCATTTAGCCACAATTGACCAGCATATAATAATTGTATTGGTCACTTAATTGCGCCGTAAGCCTGTTCGTCTTTGTAATTTTGCCAACTTTATTGGTTTAAAATAATTTACTATTAATGATCTGTTCAATATAAATGGCATCAGCGAAATATATTAACGTAATTTTACGTAAGTTATTACGGCCTGAAATATTGTGCAATAATTACGGTCTGGACATAATATTGCGCAAAAAATTGCGAAATATTGCGCAATAAATAACGTAAAATTACGAA